CTCCCCCCGGAAGAGCTTGACCACTCGAGGGGTTGTGCAGGAAGATGGGGCGCTGCCCTCTCTCGCTTGCCCACAGGTTCCCAGAGCTGGCCTGGGCAGAAGTGGGCAGGGCGATGGTGTCTGTCTTCGCTGTTCCCTCCTGTCACCTTCCTCGCCCTCTGCTCTCTCTGCCCTGCCTCACACAACCCCTGTGCACTAAAAGAGCACCAGGGCCTTGCACAGGCATCCTAGACAGGCCTGAAGAATGAGCAGTGTCCCTCGCCTCAGACAGGGACTAAGCACCACCTGTGTGCCCAGCGCCATGTGCCTGGGATGCCTCTAAAGCATTCTTAGTGTAACGATGTACTCACGAGGGAGGGAGAGGGTGTCTTCAAGATTCCCCATGAGAGCCATGGAGCACGGGGGCAGACCCATGTCCCATTCCCTGCAGTGTCCCCAGAGGTGGGGGGGGGGGCAGGCAGCAGGGTGGGAACAGCCAGGTTTGGGAGGGGGTCCTCATAACAAGTCTGGCAGGAGGAATGGAAGATTGAAAAGACAGAAAGCCCCAAGGTGTGGTCAGGGTCAGGCCCTGCTGACCAGGGCTGGTGCTGTGGGTCAGCCAGTCGTAAGAATTCACTTGGCCACTGTCACTGAGCATGTGCTGTGTGCTGGGGGCCAGGGATGCGCCTGAGAGAACGTCAACAATACAGGTCTGGGCTTCCCTGGTGGCGCAGTGGTTGGGAGTCCGCCGCCGGTGCAGGGGACACGGGTTCGTGCCCCGGTCCGGGAGGATCCCACGTGCCGCGGAGCAGCTGTGCCCGTGAGCCATGGCCGCTGAGCCTGCGCGTCCGGAGCCTGTGCTCCGCAACGGGAGAGGCCACAACAGTGAGAGGCCCGCGTACCGCAAAAAAAAAAACACAAAAAACAACAAAAAAAAACAATGCAGGTCTGTCCAGGGCAGGTCTGCGCAGGGGGAGGGGCTGGGATGGGGTCGGGGTGCAGGTTCCATGGACACCTGGCAGGGCTTCCCAGAGGAGGGGGGTGTAAGGTATGAACCATTCTAAAGGATCAGGAGGAACTGGGGAAAAGGAATTGTGGGAGGAGAGAAGGGACAACATGTGCAAAGGCCCAGAGGTGAGAGGAGAGCCTGGCTTGTCAGAGGAGGAACTGGAGGAGTGAGGGGGGTCCCGGGGGGCGAGGTAAGAGATGAGATGAGCTTAGGAGGGGCTCGAGGGCCATTCTGAGGGCCAGAAAGAGACTTGGGGCAGAGTGTCACAGTCTTGGGTGCATGGCTGGTACTTTAAACAGGCTGAACGCATGGGAAGCAGGCCGAGAACAACTTTTTCTATAATCCCTGCTGTCCCCACTCTTTTGATGACCTAGTTCTTTTTCTGCTCCTGGATGAAATCCCCTGCAAGTCCCTTAATTTCTCCTGTCAGCTGGAAAAAAAAAAAGACTCGGGGCACTTTCATTTCCTCCAAACTAGTGTCATTTCAGTGAACCGGAATTTCAAAGTTCAGTGAAAGCTAACATTTTCCACCCCTTCATCCCTACCAGGGCTGGGATTTCAGCATACCTTTGGGAGCAAACAATTTGACCCCCGGCACGCCCCTTTGAGCCAGCTGCACACCAGCTGTCTCCCAGGGACCGCCCCTGGATCTTATCATTGGCAGGAGCGGGTGACCCCTCTCCCCAAGACATCCTTCTTTGCCCTTTCCTTCGCTCTTTGACACCCTTGAAGGCGGCTGCAGACTTAGTCTGAGAATCCCTTTGACGGTCCTGCATGGGGATCCAACACCTCCCTTTTGGAGGATGGAGGTTCTTGTAGCCTCTTGTTTTTTCTAAACCTCAGGGGATTTGACTGAAACTGAAGCAGAGTCCCACTTCCAGATCCTGTCATAAGTATTTTTTAATGGCTTGTTAGTCTGTCACTGGAAGACCTGAGGTGGTAGCTGTGATGATAACCCGTATCTTCTGAAAGCCAAGCTGACACGTGGAACAGCCTTCAGCCGCCCGGGCCCTGCCCCAAGGAGGAGGAGCATGTGGGCACGTGGATGTGCTTGGGGCATCCCTCAGAGGCCCAGCCCCACCCCACGGGAGGCCAGGGCGGGAGCCCCACTTAGTGGCCGAACCTCCTGTTGCCCCTTGCAGTTCTGTCCTTAGACCCGAGGTCAACACGGAGTCTTCACTCAGGGAGGAAATAGGCAAAAACCCTTTTGATGGCAAAGGAAGCTTCACCCTCACTTCCTACCTGGCAACAGTGCCATAGAGTAAACACAGAAACATTGTTCAGGAAACTTGTCGGTGGGAGACCGAGGACCCGTTTTTTACTCGCTCAGTCAGAAGCGTTTGCTCAGCACCCGCTGGGGGGCAGCTGTGGCGATAATGATGATTAAGAAGACCCCGTTCTGCCCTCGTGGTGCTTACGCTTCATGACAGGCGCACATGGAAACAGGTGGAGCCAGCGTGATGTGATACGGCGCCCACGGCGCTCCGAGGGCGGGACAGAGGGTCCAGATCCTCCGGGACAGGTGCCATGGGGGAGACGAGATGAAGCCTGCTCTTGGGAGCCTGCGGGCTGCTCGACAGAGAAGTCACTCGTAGAGATCACTGTGACATCAGGCCAGCAGTGGCATGTGCCATCAGGAGGATCACAGGCAGGGCTAAGAGAAGCCAGATGAGGGAACAAAGCGGATATAGGGCCAAGAGCAGGGGCTGGAGGCTGAGAAGAATGGACAGCGGACGGGAAGGGAAAGTGACTTCGGGCAATTAAAAGCCAGAGCCTGAACAGAAATAGAGACGACGAAGCAGAGAACGCACAGCGGGTATGTGGGTTCTCTTCCCGGGCAGAGCACTGGCACATAGTAGGTGCTCAGACACGCTTGTTGAAGGAATGAAGCTGTGAATGCCACGTGTGATAAGATGTGGATTTGAGGCCGGAGAGGAAGGTTGGGGACAGGTTGTGTGAGGCCTGAAGGCCGAGCAAGGGGGTCTGGGCTCCGATGGCAGGTGATAGAGGCTGTGCAGGCAGGAGGGGTGATGTGATCAGCACGGGGGCGGACCGCGGGGCCTGCAGCAGGTGGCAGGGAGGGAACAGATGCTCCAGGCGTTTCTAAGGGCAGAAGTGGTAGACTCTGGAGCCTGACCACACATGAAGGTGAGCAGAGGTGTATTCTGAAGTGCCTTGGGGGCCCGTCACAGAAAACAGACCCCCAAGATGGAAATTAAGAGAGCATTGTCGGTGTTTTTGGCTTTTTATTCGCTCTCTGACCCCTGCATTGTTCTGTTTTCTCTTGCAGCCTAATTGACAGAAGAGGGTACATCCAGCCTGACACCCCACGGCCAGCCGCACCCTCCAACGGGATGGCCGCGTACGGGGCCACACAGTCACAGAGCGATACGGTAGGACCTGCAGCGCCCCACAGAGGCTTCTCTCCCACATCTGTGTTCACTGACCTGTAACAGTCAGTCACCTAGAAAGCTTCCCGGGACACCCCTGGGCTGGCAGGCTCAGAGAGGGCAAGGAAGCATTAAATTAAGGCGATATCGGCTGAAGGCTTACGCCCCCGGCCCAACAGGTGGTCAGTTTGTTTAGGGTTGTGTCGGGGAGCTACATAACATCTCTTCCAGAAACAGCTTGAGGCAGCTTGCTCTGGAAAGCCCCTCACACAGAACCGGGCTGCTGTCTGGGGTGAGCTAGAGCTGCCCCAAGCAGGGCTGGCTGTCTGGAGAGTCCCCGAGTCCCGTGCTGTCCCTTTGCCTCAGTCTGCACCCGCTCCCTCAGCCCCTCTTTAAATGTGCAGTGGACTCAGCTGCCAGGTCTCCCCACTTTCATCCAAAACCTTAGATCAGCCATGCACACCTTAGTGCAAATAATCAGACAAGCTGTTCATTCATTGACAGCAAAAACTGACTGGTTCCTCTCCAAAGAGGTCCCTGGGTCATGCTTCTATGGAGGTGTGGGACGGATGCTTTGTTTTCACTCTGCACCTGGGAGACGGGGCAGGGACGGAGTCTTTCCATGGGCACCTGAACTCACAGTCTGGCTGGCGCCAACCATCAGTGCCTTAAAATTCTTCAGTGGTCTGTAAGTCAATGGCCTCTCTTTATCAGGAACAAATTCCCCTAAAGAAGTGTTTCTGAAAGGGACCCAGTCTTGTGACCCACTGTTTGCTCTCTGTAGACCTGAATCACCCACAACAGAGTCCATGACAAACAGGACAGGACAGCAGAGTGGGTTCAGAAAAGAGGCTTTGACAGTCTGGGACTTGGAGATGGAGCTGATGTGGAAATCTGGGAGCAGGGAGCCAGGGGTGCCTCCTGCCTTTCAGCTTGGTGACAAGATGACCATACACATCACCAACAGGAAATATAAAAGGAGGTGCCAGTTAGGGGGAAGCTGATTTCACTATGTAGAAATGGGGTACCCTTGGATGCCTGGGGATGGGGGAGGTGCCCAGCAGGTTGCTATATAGAAAGCTCGGGGAAGGTTTGCTTCACCATACTTAGGAAGGAATGACATGGTTGGTAGAAATTCACTTTGAAATACTGGAGATGTGAATCAATTTTATTAGTTATCCTAGAAGTACCAGTCGATCTGGCATTTAAAAAAAAACTATAAGACGTGTTCCTGTTTGTCATCTGAGATATTAATCTGATTTCATCTCACATGCTGGAAGATTTTTTTTTTTTTTTTTGCGGTACGCAGGCCTCTCACTGTTGTGGCCTCTCCCATTGCGGAGCACAGGCTCCGGACGCACAGGCCCAGCAGCCATGGCTCACGGGTCCAGCCGCTCCGCGGCATGTGGAATCCTCCCGGACCGGGGCACGAACCCGCGTCTCCTGCATCGGCAGGCGGACTCCCAACCACTGAGCCACCAGGGAAGCCCCTGGAAGATTATTTTTTGAAATCAGCATTTATTATCTTTTGCTAACTTTCTCTCCACCCATGCCTGCCAATTCTGCCCCCATCAGGTCAAGTTTCTTTATCTAATTGGATACTACTAGTGAGGATAATAGAACAGGATAATTATGAAAGACAATGGAAGGAAAAGCTTTGCAAATGGACAGATTTAAGTACAACTGAACACAGCAGGGAAAGGCAGAGAGCGTGGGATGTGGGATCAGAGAGCCTGGGCTTGCAGTGACTGACTCAGAGCTGGGTGACCTTGGCAAGTCACTTCATCCCGAGAGTCTTAAGTTCCTAAACTGTAAAATGGAGAAGGGGATAATGATGTTCACCTCCCTCCCATCACCACTTTATAACAAAGGGCTTGGCACATAGTAGGTGCTGGTTAAACATTCAACTGAATGTATATGATAGTTCCCCTCACAGGGGCTTGCTCAAGGGAAGTTCTGAACAAATATTAGTTTGTTCCTGTCTTCCTTTCCTCATTCCTTTCTTCCTCCAATTTTGTCACATCTGCAAAAGGCTCCACCTTGAATGTGGAACTAGGAACTAGAGGGAAGGAGTTCCCTTTGGTGCAGTGACATGGCAACATGGCTTCATGAAGTGATGGCCTTGGTAGGATCAAATTAACCCATGGGCCAAGAGACAGGACATGGTCATTTTACCCACTAGACACCACAGGCAAAGCACCTGTGTACTTTTCTGGGGACTATGAAAAATTTTAAGGCCTAAAAATAATCACGAGCTCTGAAACATGAAAAGAAAACAGCAAAATCAAAATTAATAAATGTTTAATGTCTATGAGACCCATGAATATGTCAACTTCATTAATTGTTAAATTTAGCTTTCATCAAAATTTCATTACATCTTAGAAATGATTTGTAGGTTGGGTTTTTCTCACTTCATAAGAATTCCCCAGCACACATGTGATTACAGAGAAATCATTACCAGTTATAAAGTAGTGAGTTGCTTGTAGACACAGATCAATTTAAAAGTTAACTGCCTGGGGTGCCCTGCTCTTCCTGTCTTGCCATGCTGCCTGTGTTAGGGGAAACCCAGGTTTCCACTGGGCTTAAGGCTGGGGGAACTCTTTTTGGTCCCAAGGCGCCTACCCACTGCTGGGAGTGCCCCCAATACGTCAGAACGTGTTCAGGAGAGGCAGGAGCTGAAAGCTCTTTGGAGAAGTAAGATGAGATATGTTCTTCATGGTCCCACAGGCCAGAACTGGGACCAGAAGGTGGGCCCGGGAGGCAGATAGTGCTCAATCCAAGAGGGGAATGCCCAACACCCAGAGCTCATGGCAGACGGGAGCCCCTGCCGTGGAGGTGTTCAGGCTGGGGGAGGTGGCACCCCCAGCAACGTGGCGACAGAGGAGTCAGCACTGGCGGGAGGGCTGGACATTGACCCTCAGGGTTCCTTCCAACTCAGAGCCTGTCATCCAGGCCACCGGCCTTGTCAGCAGGGCAACATCACCGTGCCAGATAATGGTCCATTCTACTGTGCATTTATGGCCATTCAGGCACCTACAGCATGAGCCTTTTTATTGTTTCCGTTGTTCTTTATGGCTTCGGTGGTATAAGTGCCATATTAACAGGAGTGCAGGGGGAGGAGACAGTCCTGCACAGGCAGGGCTGGCACTGAGCAGACCGTGAAGCTGGACGTGTCTCCGCCCCAGGCCCTCTCTCCAGTTCATTCATGCTCCCACTGCGTAGCGTTTACCAGATCCCACAGCTTACCAGCACGTAGCATACCACATGCCCTTCCAAGGCTGTTACATGGATAACTCACGCTGACCCTGTGAGGATGCTACTAATTTTATCCCCATTTTACAGATTAATAAAACAGGCACAGAGAACTTCAGTAAATTTGGTCAATTCCAACTTCACACTTTGACCCCAACAGTCCCTGCTGTCAACCCTACACTTGGCTGCTCTGTAGCCGTGAATACTGACTGTGTGTAGAGTGACTCCCTCCCATATGCTTTCAGTTGCCACAGCCCGTTATCCTCACCCTCTCTCCTGTCAGAATCTGCTCTTTGCAAAAGATCTGTTATCAATCATCTATACGTTAAAGGGAATTTAAGCCGAATTTCAGGATATATGAATTTTAATCGTGAATGAAAGTTTTTACCCTCTATTAAAAACATTTCAGGCAATAATAAAATAATAACTGAATGTTTAATGCTGTTCGTTCAGCACTATATCCCCATGGTCTAGGCTAGTTCCTATGGTAGTTGGTCTCGGTGAGTGTTGGTTACATGAGAGAGGGCAAGAGAGAAAGAGAGAGAAATTGACTATGTGCCAGGCACTGGGCTAAGTGCTTTGCATACATTATCATCTCATTTCATCCTCACAGAACCACCTGACGTGGGTATTCTAACTGCCCCTTTGAGGAGACTGAGATTCAGGGATGCTAAGTTTGTGACATAGCTAACCAGTGGCTGGGCTGAGATTTCGTCCTTAGCAGTCTGACTCTAAGGAAAGTGCTCTTCTTTAACCATATACCAAAAGTTTCCCAGGTGCGAAGGTCTTATGGAGCAGAGTGGCATGAAGCCTCCTCCCAGGGCTGTGAAATCACATCACCCAGGGCCTCCATGCAGAATGATGATTAATCTGCTGTGGTCAGTCACAAAACCAGCTGTGGAACTGAATGTAACCACTCCATAATCTAACCTACAATTGGACCAAGCAAATATCTATGAAACTTCAGTTTCTGCTCTGTTACAAATGACAGTGTTAACCAATGACACATTAACGCTCCTTTTTTTCTCTTCACTTGCTTCCCCTAAGCCCAAACCATTTTGCAGCACTTTAGTCTGCGTTAAAGGTTTGTCCAGGTGGAAACATCAGTACCCAGGTAAATTACTGACCTAGTCCAAGGGTGATCTCCACTAGTAAACTCCTCAGAGTTCACTCAGTTTCTTGGATCTGAAAGTTATCATTTTTCATCAAATTGGGACATTTTGGCTATTTTCTTCAAACTTTCTTTCTCAGCTCTTCAAATTGGATAATTTCTTTTTTTTTTTAACACTTTTATTAGAGTATAATTGCTTACAATGGTATGTTAGTTGCTGCTGTATAACAAAGTAAATCAGCTCTATGCTTACGTATAGCCCCATATCCCCTCCCTCTTGCGTCTCCCTCCCACCCTCCCTATCCCAGCCCTCTAGGTGGTCACAAAGCACCGAGCTGATCTCCCTGTGCTATGTGGCTGCTTCCCACTAGCTCTCTGTTTTACATTTGGTGGTGTATATATGTCGGTGTTACTCTCTCACTTCGTCCCAGCTTACCCTTCCCCCTCCCCATGTCCTCAAGTCCATTCTCTACGTCTGTGTCTTTATTCCTTCCTGGCCCTACGTTCATCAGAACCTTTTTTTGTTTTTTTAGATTCCATATATATGTGTTAGCATATAGTATTTGTTTTCCTCTTTCTGACTTACTTCACTCTGTATAACAGACTCTAGGTCCAGAAATTGGATAATTTCTTCTGATCT